AAAACTTTATGCCCGTCATAATTTATGATGAATTACTAGAATGATGCTCAGTAAGCTTATAACATTATCTCTTATCTTATATTGTAAATACCTTACTAGGTTTCAATTCTTTACATAACAGTTAGGTCGAAATTTGGGATTCCGACACCAAAGAGCATTCATATATGGTTGAGAAAAATATGTAGTTAAACCTTAAAGCTGAATTTTCGTAGTGCATAATTGAGAAGTATTTTAACAAACAAAAAAATCATTTTATATTATTTTTAAGTAATTTTCTGAGATATACCTCAGTGAAGTCTTATTCTGCTAAGGATAGGGTATATATATCTTACCCGGAAGTAGGAAAAGATGGTTCTGACCTCCTCCTCAAATCCCATATCAATCATTCTGTCGGCTTCATCTAGCACGAGAAATCGACAGACCTCAAGATTAAAGATTTTTTTCTCTAAAAGATCGATCAGTCGGCCTGGAGTGGCAACAAGGATATGCATACCAGACCGGCGGAAGGCCTCTGCTTGGTCGCGAACAGCCATCCCACCAATACAGAGCTGACAACGCACAGATGGTAGTCCAGCCTGAGCAAGACCCTCAGATAGTTGGGAGATTACCTCATGAGTCTGACGAGCCAACTCACGCTGGATGAAATTAGAGGGAAATAGAGACAAAATATTACGTGGATAGAAAATAAGTGAGAAAACTTGTAACGAAAATTAAAAAATATTTTCACTAAAAATACACACCTTACTGAAAACATGCTTAAGTAGTATTTATAATAGCAGCTCTGGAGATAAAATAGAGTGGATAGGAAAGTACTAGTTTTTCAGCGTATATTGATGTAACTTAGTAGCATGCTGAGGAAGGAAAAATTGATGTCATATGGTAACGACAAAAAATATAAAATAGTGATTATAAGAGATTTTTTAAAGAAAATAGTCACGTTCAAAATAGCATATTTAAGAGGTTTGATTTTTAGAGTTTGCCGACTGCCCATAGTCCAGCGCCCCAAAATGTTTGCGAAGCGTTTTGTAGTTTAGATGGTTAAAAATTCTCCGCTAAAAGAGCACGTGGTTGTAATATCAGAGGAACCAAATTACAGTAGTCTCCTCAAAGTCTCCTGAATAAGACAAAAAGTCGCAAAAATCAGATCGGTTGAGATAGCCACCAAGTGGATGAAGTAGATAAAAAATGAATTCCAACTATAAAAGTTACGAATATAAACTTAAATGTGAAAATTAAAGAAGCGAAAAAGACCAAGGTCAAAGGCAAAGCTATAGGAAAAGTTGTGATGAAAAATGGTCTAAGCTATGAAAAAAGTTGCATGAGAAGTCTTTGAAAATTAGGCTTAGGGAATCCTCAGAAATATTTTCTAAAGACAGAAGTGGATAAGAAAATTAAAGCATTTATAAAACGAAATGCAACTGCATCAATGACATGCACCAAGTCAAGGAGGCGCAGAATATTCCTCTCATAGCAAGCACTAATACTAAGAGAGTTGTTTAAATCTCGTTTTCGTAACATGGTTATGCTCACCGAGAGACTAAGAGGAATGTACCCCGTATTGCATCCTGTTCTCTGGGCTTATTTATAGATATTTTAGTGGAGGTGATAAATACCTCTGAAAAG